CTAGCCCAACTTAAATTTCGTTGAGGGCTTGGTCCTCCCTGTGCGTATGTCAGATGAGGCAAAGTACCCAAGGTATCGGATCGACATGGGATCAGCAAACGATTATCGACCGGGATGGATGTTCCAAATGGATGGCCGCTACTGGAATAACTCGCCCTCCTCTTTGTGAAGATCTTATCCAGATGACCGATATCCCATTTGCCCATCCCTTTTTTCATCGAGAAAAGAGAAAGCCACCTGTTGATTCCATTTCCACACTAATCAAGCCGATCTGCTCTGATAGACTCTTTCGCCACCGTGGATCGTCGGAGCCATACCAAAATACGTGTCTTGCGGGCAATGTGTCTGACTGAGATGGGCAAAACCCACACACTCAACAGCGATGGAGGACACTTGCCGCTGCTTTAGTATGTAAATCCGCGAACCACCAATGCATGTGTGTCTGGAATAATAACCGATCAGCAAAATTCATGCGAGACGTGGTACCGAAGATGAGCTTGTTACGCAATTGATGCGAGAGTGAACTTTGTTGCAAATCATCCCGTGTCTACCAAGGTACCTCTGGTCCATACAAAATGCTTAGTACCTCACAATGCACATGACATCAGAAGATTGATATTGGAAAAAATTCTGTTATTTGATACGTAGTGTATACGTATGAAGAGCCAAACGCTATCAAAACTCCCTCTTTCAATGGGGATAAATGTAGAAGAATATAATAAAAGGAAAAAGAAAATGAAAATGAAAATGAACCGTGCCGAATAAGTGATAATGGCCTCCAAAAAGCCAGCAAATAAAAATAATCAATCATGCTCAAGGGGATTCTTCAGCGCACATCATCATGGTCGGCCGTCCACGGTCCTGACCAAGCGCCCTATCCCAACTGGTGTACCAGCTTGACCGTTCCCTCTAAACACTCGAGGGCTGGGCATTTCTGTCCTTGTCATCACGGTTGCGGTTCTTGCGCCAGTAGCAGGCAGTGGCGATGACCAGGAAGAGCCATGTCAGCGCGTTTACCAAGTCTACCCAGACGGCGTCCTTCATGCGCTGAATGTCTCGGTCACCCTCGGCGTCCTTGTTGATGTAAAGCTGTAGGGTGAAGGTCAGTAATGAGAACAGAAGCAGTTGAGACAAGCCAGGGTAACAAACCTTGCCGAAAAGTCCGAACACTGTGATCCATAGCACGAACAGGAACAGGTCCCAGAAGGTCATGAGGAGGTTTGCGTTATATAGGAACCCGGGGATTAGGTATAGTAGACATGTCATAGTAGACATAGAACCTAGAACCACGGCGAAGACCTGAACAGGTTTGTTAGTTCAATTGTAACTCAAGTCATGCCTTCCCGCCGACTGATTGTGCCCTTTGGGAAACTTGTCCACTCACCATCCTGGGATCAATATCCTCTTCATTTCTCGCAGAATGTTGGATGTCGCTACCGTAGATACCGCATACTGCTAGGGCAAAAACGAAGGCGATACCATGGAAGATGGTAAAGAAAATGTAGCTCTTGCTAATTGGAGCGCAAGCCATGGTGAATGCTTCTCTATTGCAATAGCACAGCTATTGACTGAAAAATAAAAAAATAGCCCAGCTACTGGTTAAAAAAAGGAGAAGGGAAGTAATAGACCAGCTATTGATCAATTAAAACAGCTAAGAACGAAGAAAATAGACCAGCTATTGATTGAAGAAAGGAAATGAGAAAGCGTGGAGAGAAGAATAACAAGACAGAACTTGTCGGTGGCTCCAGGTGGACTGGGCCGGTAGATATTAAAAGGAAAAATCTAAAAATTATCCACGCCGTTGTAAGACGCGCGCGTTCAAGTCTCCTAATGCTTTCGGTTTCCTGACTTGCTATGTAAGTGTATGCCGTGAGCAGACGGGTGCCAGATTCTGTTTCTGATGCTGACATGGGTTTTGCCCCATCTTTACCAGCGTTGACAGGGAGGAGCAGACGGAGGTACGTACAACATTGCATGGGGCCACTGTTGATCGTCTTGTACCTCTCGCCTGATTCTCATATACACTGCTTTTCCGACTAGCGATGTTTTATTTCTTCTCCTCATGTCTAGGCGAGAGAACCTCAATTGCTGTTAGTGACGTAGGGGAGCCAGGTGGATGTTGATCTTCAGCAACGGCAGCAGTGATTGTGGATGCTGCCCACTGAGGACGCTGCCTAGGATCTACTGTTAGGGGTTAAGATTGGGGGCTCCAGCGCAGGGCTCCGACGACCTCAGATGATGTGACGTCGCTGACTCCCGCTGCGACTCGCACCTCATCCCACGTGGGCCACATAACAATATCTTGATGGTCGTCAAGATGTTTTGGTTATTGAGAGTATCTGTCATAGAAAATTAAGTGTCATCAGTTGTTATACGTCTCCAGCAGTGGGGTTATTTGAGATTGCCCTCTTGACCCGGAGGATAGCGCATGCTTGGAGGTTCATGAGTATTCGAGATGCACCCTTGCCGTTCTTCACCCACATAATAGCGTGCAGCTGCTAGCAGGGATCAGGCTGCGATACAGACAGAAATAGCAAGAACGACTGGGAAGGGAGATGCTCGGGAACGATCAACTTGCCGTAGGAGCGATTGCCTGCCTTCTCGTATGTCCTTGTATTTACCTAGGTAGATATTACATGGCTTAAGGTCGTACCCATTTGGTTGGATGATTTTGACAAGGAGGTATATTGCTCGCTTGGGAGTTTATTGTCGCGCTGATGACATGTCACTGCAATCTGGAGCAGCAGTCATTCATACCTACGTACGTGGGGGAGTAACTCAGTCCTACAGCGAGTTATTTCTCTTGGACTTTAGGTCGGCAGATTAGAGGTTTATTAGAGTAAGTCTACATGAACATATGTCGAACAGCTATTAATAAAATCCACCAAACTCCAAGTATCCTGCGCCGCTCTATGACGCCTGTCCCTTCCCAGTGATTTTTATCCAGGTATCATATGTTTGTCGTTGAGCTGTCGGCTCCTCTCTAGATGAAACTCTCGGGCGATTATATCTCAAACTTAGAACAAGTATCAAAATCTGTAACTTGGCGGGCTGTCGCAGCCACCGGGCTCTCGGGTCGTCTGACGATTACGCGACTGCGGTCAGTCACGGAGGGGCCGCGTAAAGTGCTTCCGTGTCTCTGGGATTGATCCAGCCACCATATCAGTCAGCTGCTGCTTGTTTCAAGCCAAAATTGGTGAATGGTTCGAGCTGGTTCGCAGGTGAAGGAGCGCTTTGGGCCGCCGGCGTGTCCCATATTTGAATTCCATTTTGTCAATGTCTATCCTGAACCTTTCGGCCCTCAATCTGCCGCCGTAACAATGACCTGGGGCAAGATCTTGGACCCAGGAAACAAGACTTTCGAACTCCCAGGAACCATCTTGTCTCTCACAGAGGATTTTCTCGACCATCCTCTAGGCCAGAGGGGTGGAGGTTCCAATACGGTGGGCTTGGAATACCAGTGAGCTGGGATTGGAGGGAGAGGTGACCCGGACGATGTGTAGAAGCCGAGGACGCGAAATGATTCATCGCACGCCCGCCTTTCTCGTTTTCGGGAAAACAGGCCTGGTTTACCATCCTTGGAGCTGGAGGCAGACATTTTGCTAGACTTCTCAGCTGGGAGGCCCGTATTTTCCTGGGCACTCTCTTGCTTCTTTGACGATGAGAGGCGGAGACGCATCGTGAGTGAGCGCTGTGCTTGCGGCCGGATATTGACCGACCACAAGAATTTGAGGGAAGCAATTTTGGTTGGGTAAGTGCAGCGTGTTGAGTTGGTCTTGGGGGATTTTTTTCCTTTTTATAAACCCTGGGGTTGTTCAAGTTATATGGCTGAACAATGTGTGGGCGTTTACTCTGAGGTAGGTGCACTAAGCCAAAGTTTCTTGCCTAGCCGGAGCATGCCCTCGAGGGATGCAGTCACGACGGTATGACAATGGGGCTTTTTTTCCAAACAGGACATCAGTCATCTAGCCACCACGCCCAGTAAGTACTATGGTGGCGGTGCGCATGGCTTCTGTTTCTCAGGCCTGGCTGTGCTGCTGCTCCACCTGCACTGCATGCAGGTTGCCTGTTCCCGTCGATGCCTAGGTAGGTAGGTAGGTATGTAAGCTTTCACAGCATTTCAAGATGTGTAAGCAGTAAATCCAAGTCACATTCAGCAGTAACAGCCTGAAGCTCAGCGCTACATGGCGGTCGTGCTTGCTTTCTGGCGAATCGTTGCTGTTACCCTCCCAGTTTTTCATGATGGAAAGCGTTGGTAGCCGACTTGTAATGTACTTAGTTGCGCAATTATCTTGGAAAATTTGAAACAATGGATGGATAGGTAAATTTTCATTGGTACATGTATCATTCCTTCCTGAGCACGAACTGTACTCACTGGATTATGGCCGTTGAGATTTAGGCCGATATTGACCCTTGAAAAAAATTAATTGTAAAGTAGCCTTCGTATGAGCTGCATCTCTTTGATGGTGTCGAAACATACTCCTGGAAAGAAGGGACAATGTGCCTAGCGGCACTGAAAGATTTTTCAAACTCTGATGCTGCCGCCCCTTTCTTCCTCTCTCTTTGTGTCCCCCTGCGACAACATTCCTTCAATGTCTGGACCTTGGATGTAGTAGGCATTGAAGCGGCGGGCAACTTTGTGAGTTGGTCGACTTCGGGGATCCCGATGGGACCTGGTCTCGAGAGAATGCTCAACTTGAAAGGCGGAACCTGTCTGCATACCAAGCCGTCGACAGCGCCTCTGTCCTCGCCTGTGACCAATTGTGCGTACGCTTTCTCTTGATCAGCCTGGTGCTTGCGCCCACGACTCATGTCTCACTTTGGCCGGCATTCACCGCCTGCCTGGATATGCCTGCGAATATTGGAGGCCTAGAGTATGAGAAGGTGCAGAAAGCTCCGAGTGGCCGTTCCAACCAGAGTCCTGAACATCCCCATCGGCTCGATAGACATAAATGACCTAGAATGATGCTCTCGTCATCTGTTGGAACGAGAAAAGACTCTCACATGACGAGAAATTTCGCATCAGCCAAGAGGGAGGTCCACCTCATACCTGGCTCTCGAGCCCAGACCTTGCGTAGATACTCCAGGGCGCGTCGAATATTGCCAAACCCGTTGCGCGCATAGTGCCTGAGGAAGACGTTCTCGAAGAACTCCATGTGCTCCTCTGTCTGGCTCCCGGACGCCGCAACAAAAGATGCCCAGATCAACACCTGTTCGCCAGGCGCACCGGCTGGGTAGGCCTCCAAGGTTTCTTTGAAGTGCTGAACACGGGCGATGGAATCTGCCACGTCCGTCTCGGTGGGCGTCGAGTCAATGAAGAAGAACTGGTGAAGGTAGATGTCGAGGGCTTGCTGGACCAGGTCGTTCACGAATGAGAGGACCACGGCGCTCTCCGGATTGAACGATAGCTTATGGCTGAGACTATTCAGGAGCTGCGCAGCGCTGATCGGGGAGGATATGACCTGCAGTGCAGTCTCTTCGTTCAGAAGGGGGGCAGAGTAGACTCGCAACCTAATTTTACTAATTAGTTTCTTCTCAATAGCTGGTAATGGGTAACGCATCGAAGCGATTCGAAACGCACTTGTTAACCTGTGAAAGAATAAAAGCAGCGGCATCACTGCTGCCCAGGACATCGTCGCCGCCGACCGCCTGGAGTGCTGATTCTAACATCCGGAATAGGAACGGGAAGTCAGAGCGCCCGGTCACCATAGTTCCCACAATAAGGACAAGAATTGTCATCAGGACGGAATGCTTCTTGTCGATGTTGCATGTATCCAGTTGGTGTTGCTGCTTCAGACCGGATATAACATGCTTGTATAGCTCGTTCGGATCGGGGATGCACTGGGGCGAGCTGCCAAATTGATACTGGTCTGACCCAAGCACGTTCAATCGAAAATGGAACGCGGAGACGGTCAAGACGGCGTTCATGACCAATTCGTCATGTTGAGCGAAGGGGAGAATGAGATGCCGCCAGCCATTGTGCAGGCCATCTACGGCCACCATCTCATAGCTGATATGCTGGGAAACTTCGAAGCCACTTGTTAGCAGGTGGCGGGACAGCAAGAGCCATGGAGTACTCACAGAGTTGGAACAATTGCGTCTTCCATGAGGGGATATTGCTTGGAATTGGCCATGGAATATCGTAGCCACTTGACGAGCAAAGCTCACCAACCATTTGAGCCGACGATGATGCAGAGTACAATTCAAGAGCATTCGCTGATATGATTTCCTCGAGACTTTCCTCAAGGTCCCGCGGTTCTGGTATGGGGTCGATGGCATATTCCTCCAAGACGACATTAGCCACTGCCGGGGCATTTATTCGGGTTTCGTCATCGTTTCGTGTTGTCTCGTTCTCATTAGAGCGTTTATTTGCGGCTCTGGCCACTCGTTTCGCCGTATTCTCTTGTCGAGCATGGTCTCGCTTTCGGGCTCTTCGAATCAGCACGCCATCCTTTTCACTACAGAGTGATAACTGTTAGTCCAATCGTATCATACGAGTGGTGGGGTATCGAGGGGCTGTACTCTTCATAGATGGCTTGCATATCAGCCTTTCCGGCCCAATTGCCCCGCGAGGCAACTCCATTCTCGAATCGATGTCGCACGCCCAATCCGCTGCACTCCAGACCGCGGGAGAGACATTTCTGGCATTGAGGCTCGGCTCGGTCGCAATTGACCCGTCGTCGTGAGCATTGGTAGCAGCCTGTCGGCGTCTAAGCTGGTGCCCTCATCTCCGCGCGCAATTGCGAATCACAAACAGCACGTACCTTTTGTTTTCGGGATGTATGGACGCTTCTGTGGCGGCATATGTCGGTCTTGTAATTGTCGAAGGCCTTGAGAGGAGGGAGGGAGAGATGGAGGGTTGTTGGGTTCCCTGTGTTTGGCGGGGAGTTGGTCGATGTTGCAGGGTTGTTAAATTAGGGACCAGATGATCTCGTTATTCCAGGCGTCGGTTTGTGGGGTTTCATTCATGATTGCGTCGAGTGCGGACTTCATACGACAGCCATAGGGGAGGAAGAACGACGTGGTCGGGTTCGAGGTGGGAGTGCTATGAGTGGCAGAAGATGCAGAGATGCAGCTGGATGCGCGTATCACGACGAGGCCATGAGTCAGCAGCAAAGATACCGGCTTATCTCGGAATTACCCCGCGAAACTGGAGCCTGCAAGACGAGAGCAGATTGGAGTCGCGAACCAGAGCCGCCTCCACGTGCTGGAATCGAGTTCGCCCCGGCCATGGAAAACAACGTCCCTTGAATGTTGCCGGTCCGGAGATCTGGTATCTGGGCTCGATCCCTGCGCTAATCTTAAAGGGGGAGGCCAAAGGAGAACGAGGGGCTGGAATGATATCTGATGTCGCAGAAGGGCAACCTTTGACACGGGGCGCATTTGGAGCTATCCCTGAAGAGTCAGGCCGATTGAGAGCAGGTACCGATCTAATGTACACGCCCCCTACCAGGCGTCCTCCTCCCTGGCAACCCATCGCGAGGCCAGCCTTTCCAGATGGGCCAAGCCAATTGAGAAAGATGCTTCTGAGCGATGCTAGTCCGAAAGGGTCAGGCCAAAGGAGAGCAGCTTCCCATCAGCTTGCCAATTCACCGTTCTTGATTTGGTAGCCTGCCCCAGACGAGATGTCAGTTGTCTCATGTGTGGGGGAAACCCGACATCGGCCGTCTTCCTTCGCTTGTACGCGGCATCCTATCTCCTCACCTTGGCTTGGGCTTACTATTCACCGACAATGGTACAGAGTCTGGGTCCAAGCCTGGCTATGTTCATGAGGTTTGTTCCGGTTCCGACCAATGGGGCACCCGCCACAAGATACAGTTGTGCTATAGTGAGGCCTTGGAAGAGTCTCTTTGCTGTAGAGTGGTAACTGAGCACCTGTAACTGAGCCCAATAGATGTCACTTATCGTAGAATTGTGAGTATCAGTAGACACAGATATATCAACTCTTATTCTTGAAGTCACGGCCGTATAGTATGGGAAGAACAAGTAGTTGGAATGTAGAACTCAATTAATTTTTAACACCTAATTAAACGCTTTATTTAAATTGACTTTACGACCTTCTCCAGAGTCTCAAGCAGAATGTCTGCGTGGTGCTTCTGGAAGACAAGCATAGGTCGTAGTCTCACAGCACTAGCTCCACTGCCTCCCATGTTCACACCAAACTCCTTAGCCTTCTTCAAAATTTCGTCGCGCTTAGGGCTGTCGAAGGCGATGAATGTGCCACGGTCCTTGCCGCGGAGGTTCTGGAAGTGTTCGGGATACTTGCGAGCAAGGCCCTGGAGGTTGTCGAACAGGTAGTTACCGACCTTGGCGGTGTGGTTGACGAGATCGTGCTTCTCGATCTCGTTGATAATACCACGGAAGAGCAGAGCTCGGACGGGGTCTCCCATCCAAGTGTTGAACTGGCGGTAGGGCTTGTTTGGTCGGAGACCTGGGTTGCCGAAGTAGAAGCCTGCTGCCTGTGCCTTCTTGGAGAAGGTGACCAGATCAGGAGGGTCCTGGAGGTTCCAGTGGTCGTGGGCCCAGAACTTTCCTGTGGCTCCAACACCAGTTTGCACCTCATCTACAATGAGGAGCACATTGTGCTTCTTGGTGAGGGCCCGCAGCTTCTGGAAGAACTCGGGGCTGGCGTGATTATCGCCTCCCTCACTCTGGATAGGCTCAACAATAACGGCGGCGGGAGGCAGATGCCATGATGTGATTAAATGCTCAACTTCGTCCAAGCTAGCCTGCTCGATACGGGCGTTCTCGGCTGCGTTCTCCTCCAAAGGATACTTGAGCTGGGGGAACGTAGCCTGAGGCCAGTCAAAGGCTGGGATATCAACCTTGTGAATTGCCTTTGAGCGAGTTGTGGAAAGACTGCCTAGGAGACGGCCGTGGAAGCCAGTCTTGAAAGACAGGATGGAGAGTTGGGCGGCGCCAGGAGCCTTGTTGTCCATGACTGATGCAAGTTCCTCAGCAGTGAAGTCAACCTCAGGCCCACCTCGCTCAAACTGACGGCGGTACATGAAAGCGGCCTTGAATGCAGTCTCGTTGGCGTCCGAACCAGCCATAGCTGTGAAGACCTGGTCAAGACCCTTAGGGGCAGCACGGAGCAGGCCAGTCTTGAGAAGGTCAGCCCAGTCATGAGAGGGAAAGCTGCCCAGAGCAGGGCGGTTCACGATCCCGCTGGCCATTTCAGGCGAGGACGCGATCTTGAGAAGCTCTGGGTTGTTGTATCCCAAGGGGATGGATGCAATCTGGGCGAAACTGGTCATTGTGAGTTAGCTCTGGTTCCTTATTTTGAGCCAACTTAGCGCGCGGCCGAGAACTTACACATCGAGAAGAACATTGCCATCAGGGTCAGAGAGATAATTTCCGTGGCTCTTTGTGAAGTCGCAGATCATGTTCAAGCTCCTGGTGTCAAACACTGTGTCGAGTTCCTGGAGGAGCTTCTGGCTCTTTGGGCCTGGGATAGTTGTCTTCACCTGAGGCCCAGAAGGTTCACCAGCGTAAAAAGGACCAGCAGAGGCCCTGATGCTGCTGGTAGCAAAGCAGCGCGCCCTGGAGACAGCCAGGGCTGGGCGGCCAAGGACTCGAGCCCGTGCGAGAGACATGATGGATGCTGTGAAGTCTTCCTTTCTTGTGGGAGTGGGAGATTGAGGGGAAAGAGAGGAAGAGTGAAGGATGAGAAACTATGAAGAAGCGAAACTCTGTGGGTAGAGTCCCCTCATAGATCCTATTTAATACAAGCGTCTGAGTTTCGGCATCTACGTTCTGGAGCAACGAGGACCTGGCAGGCCGGCCCGGTGTGTACGGTGTACATTGGACAAGACATGGATTGTGAGAGTAATGTGTCAGGAAAACGGACCAATTGCTAATGGAAATGGGTGCCGGAGGGTGCTTCACTGCGTTATCTTGTGGCAACGTGTGTGAAGGAAGCTCGGCTTGGAACTGGTTTAGAAGGCTTATCATCGTGGATGATGCACTAGATTCGTTATCGACTGTATCACGGGGCCGTCCAGCGTCCAGGGCGGCAGCTTAGCGGGCCCCGCGCCCCTAAGCGGTAGTGGAGGCATGTACCTGTAGAGGGGTGAGCCCAGCGAGGTTCTTGGTGCGATAACGCGAGATATAGTGGAGGGGAGTCCACTGAGGGGTGTGTCTTGCGGTGAAACTTGCCCTGACCCGGAGGCGATGCCGAAGTCGGAGAGGGCAATACAAAGGCACTTGCCAGATTAGCACACTGCACTGCGCGACTTGCTGCTGGCATTTAGGAGCTTATCCATTTCAGTTGTCGAGACGAGACGACACAACGCTCCATTGTGGTCCCAAAGCGATGGAGCCTTGGCACCGGATGGATTTTGCTCTCATGCCCCTGGTCTGAGGTGCATTTTCGTTAGCGGAGGTACGGAGGCATGGGCCCAGAGGCAACGGGAAAGGAGCCGGTTACAGCAGGTTCAACGCGGGGAACAGATAAAAGAGAGCTTGCCTCAACACTTTGTCGTTCTGAGAAAGCCAGTTTACTTTCTCTTACTTCTTTTCTCGTTTTTGATCTTTGCCATTGAAAATTAGGGTCAAATTTTATTACTCTCGACGTTGGTAATCACAATGCGTCGCTTCGCTTCACGAGGTGTTTGTGCCAAGGCCTCAAAGGCTGTTCCCCGAGTGAACGGCCTGAGCTCAGCATCCTCCTTTGCTGTTCGCCAGTCTGCTTTACCAAAGCAGGCCAGAGCCCTGGCCTTCCAGTTCAGAACATACATCACCAACCATGAGAAGATTCAAGATGTTCAGAACACCCCCTACTTCCTGGACAACAAGTTTGTCCAGTCCTCCGCAACTAAGTTCATTGATCTGCATGATCCTGCCACAAACAACCTCGTCACCCGAGTCCCTCAGATGACCAATGAGGAGATGAAGAAGGCGGTTGAGAGTGCTGAGAAGGCCTTCGAGTCATGGAAGAAGACCAGCGTCCTGCACCGCCAGCAGATCATGTTCAAATTTGTCCAGCTGATCAAGGAGAATCATGATCGCCTAGCCGCAAGCATCACCCTAGAACAGGGAAAGACCTTCGCTGACGCCAAGGGCGATGTTCTTCGCGGACTCCAGGTTGCTGAGGCTGCATGTGCTGCGCCTGAACTTCTCAAGGGTGACTTGCTTGAGGTCGCCAAGGACATGGAGACTCGCTCTTACCGTGAGCCTCTGGGTGTTACTGCAGCTATCTGCCCCTTCAGTATGTACCAATTCCTCAACCTATCTGCTCGACTATGGTTGCTAATACTTTTCCAGACTTCCCCGCTATGATCCCTCTTTGGTGTATCCCCATTGCCACCGTCACTGGCAACACTCTGATCCTCAAGCCCTCGGAGCGTGACCCTGGAGCTGCCATCATCCTTGCTGAGCTTGTCAAGAAGGCCGGTTTCCCTGAGGGCGTGGTCAACATTATTCACGGCAGCCACGACGCTGTCAACTTCATTATCGATGAGCCTGCTATCAAGGCTATCAGCTTCGTTGGTGGTAACAAGGCCGGCGAATATATCTTCACCCGCGGATCAGCAAACGGAAAGCGCGTTCAGGCTAACCTCGGTGCCAAGAACCACGCTGCTGTTCTCCCAGACTGCAATAAGAACCACTTTCTCAATGCAGTAGCCGGAGCTGCTTTCGGAGCCGCCGGGCAGCGATGTATGGCTCTCAGCACTCTCGTTTTCATTGGTGACGAGACCCAGAAGTGGCTGCCTGATCTCGTTGAGCGTGCCAAGGCTCTGAAGGTCGATGCTGGTTTCGAGAACGGCGCCGACCTGGGCCCTGTCATCTCCCCAGAGAGCAAG